AGGCCCACCATCCAGCTGGGCCTGTTTGTGAATTATCTCAGACGGTCCAAAGAAACGGGAGGGGCAAGAAGTGTTTTGCATCTTAAGATTCTCTCAAATCCTCTGTAGCAAAATTCTGCTGGAGAGAGCAGCCACTCTCTAGCGGCAAAAAGCAGGATTGCATGGATCTTTGAGAAAATCTGGAGGGATCCAGCCACTGGTGTAATTCTGAATTAAAGGGACGACGAGGTGATGATCATTGCTGGTGGGATAGGAAGATGAGCCTGGGGTTACTGTGGACGCCCTTCCTTATGGACGGTCAAACACATATTAAAGGTAGACTATTTCTTCTTCACTCTTTTTATATCACTCTCTAAAGTCATGTTTAAAGAAGCGAGTCTCATTCTTATATCACTCAAATGCCATCATCATCCTCAAGCAAACCTAAATTACTACCCTGTACTGTTGTCTCAAGCCCGTCCGCATACAGGTGGCAAAAATTGGTTTGAGAAAATAAACATGCTACACAAACCCAACAGAGGGAAATCAGTCACAGGTCTATCTTTGCTTGAAAGACATCCAGAGCAGATAGGCCCTGTTTAGAGTTATTTTGAAGAAAAAATACACAGAAAAATTAATTTAACTCTTTCATAAATAAGGTATACTTTATTACTATCCAGGGTGACCAAAAAACATAGCAAGACAAACACCAATTACATGAATTTTCCTCCCTGAATAAGTGCATATTAAATGGTCAAAACTTTTTTCCCAATATTTTCTAATTTAGTTTACTGATAGCATTTTGAACCATAAAGAAAATCCAACACTGGACTCAGATTGGCCATATGGTTGTGTGTGCCTCGACAGGAAAACAATGAGCTAAGTAAGTACATTAAGGAATCATACAAAAAGTTTTCACAGAAACAAATGGTTCCCCTAGATTTTTCAGTGTAGAGCCCTCTATAGAAGGGCAAAAAGCCAGATGTTCGCATTTGTTCACGTAAAGATAGCTCCTGTGCAGAGTGAATGGGAGAAGTAAGGCTGCTCTCAACATAAAAACGTGGTGGTTTTCTTATTTTTATTAAATGCCATGGTTTTCTGAAATGACATTAGCTCATTTCAGGAAAAGTACAAGGCATCAAACCATCCACACTAATATAACAAATGATCAAATGCCTACCCATAGAATCCTCTACGCTCTCCACAAGATTTTTGCAAAGGAGATTTTTGCAATTCTCTGTGAAAACCACAATTTTATCCTCCCACTTTACTTGGAGATCATGGTTTCTCTCTGAATAACCCTTGAAAGCCAAAGACTTCCTCTTTTCATTCTGTCTTCTGTCACTGTCACAGACTCAAAGTTTGTCAAAGAAAAAGGGTGTCCCTTTTGAAAGTGAATAAGACGCTCATTTACTTTGGGTAAGCTTCCTCTTTAAATCCGACCATCTGGATCTAAATTAAGGTACCTCACCTTAAACACGGGTATGCTCACCATCTGGCTACCCCAAAGCATCAATTACTTCAGGTAAATGAAGATTTTGCCTAATTCTAAGCAAGCATACTCTACTCAGACTATTATGGCATGAATACACACCTTCTGTATCTGCCTGCTGCCCACCTTCTTGAGGGAAAAGTGAATGGGTATTCTGCCTAACGGAGATCATTTACTGATATGTATAAACATTTCAAATTTAAGAGAATTTATTTGCAATATTCAACTAGTGGTGAATTTCCCTTTAGCCAAATGTTGAACCGAGAGTGAAAGATTTGCCTCAAGTGAATAGCTTGTCTTCTAAACTTTCTCTACTGTAATATGGGAGCCAGGGGAGGTAAGTCCTCTATAGACCAAGAAGCAGGCCACCTCCAAAACCTCATGGGGGATGAAACTTTTCAGGATCAAAGGCACACAGCACATAGTGAAATTTAGTTTCCCTGCTCTGCCCAAATTATATCTCTTAGGCCTCTAAAGAGTGAAGCAGAAAATCAGATTGAGTATTAACCAGTTGTTTCCACATAGACTAAGTAAGGTGGACAGAATGGTAGTATTGCTCTTTTTAAATCTTTCAAATTGCTCAGTGTGACTCCCTATTGCCAGATTAAATATTTTCATTACAGAAATTGTCTGATAATTAAATTGGCAAAAATTCTGACTAACTAAAAGACCAAAACATTCAGTCACTAAACAAATGAAAACTTAGAGTTTGCATTTAAGTCCTTTTGAAAAGTATGTTTTACAATGTCGATTTACATTGCATTTGGGGGACAGAATCACCACCAATAAAAGTCTAACTCTAGCTGAGTTCCTGATATTGGTGTGTTTAAAAATTCTCCAAGTATCCATAGTAACAACAAACAAAAAGCTTAATATATGTTATTTTGACATAACTGTGACATGTTTGATTCGATTTCCTTTGCCTTATCAACTCTAGTAGAAACATATAAGAAATTATCATATTCATTCTGATGTTGAAAGGAAAAAAAAAAAAAAACAAGTACTTTCTCTAAGAGGCTGCTTACTAATAAAACCATCCTGAGATCTCCAGAAACGCCAAATCCTAGAAAATTAATGGGATGCAGAGTTTAGCTACATAGGCACTAGGCTAAACTCCCAACCCTCTTATTTACATCTTCGGAGAAAATGAAGCTGAGAGTTTGAATATAAATATGCACTAGGGTACAAGAAATCAGTTATAGGTCAAGCAGGAACATCTGGTCTTTTTAAGAGTCCTGTTAATTTGAAAGCACTGACCACAACAAGCTCAGTTCCACCAAATATATTTTGGCGCAGCTCAGAAAAAATAGCATTTGCTGGAAGTATTTATTTCACCACAGCATGATTTATCAGTAATGATATGCAGTTCCCACTATTGGCATTTTGACATAACATGCAAACTTGCCTTCTACGCTTTTCCCCCAAATTTTACATGCTCATGGATCTTTTAAAAAACCTTTTCATCTATATTCTTGAGAATATGTCAGAGAACGTGGTGGAAGGGATTTTAAATTATATACATCTGATCTTAGGAGTTTGAATGTGAATAATTTATACATTCACTTATAGGAGGTTTTAATTAGCACACAACCACTAAGTGTATTAGTTACTCAGTCGTGCCGGACTCTTTGCAACCCCATGGACTGTAGCCCCCCAGGCTCCTCTCCATGGAATTCTCCAGCAAGAATACTGGAGTGGATTGCCATTCCCGTCTCCAGGGAATGTTCCCAACCCAGGAACTGAACCTGGGTCTCCTGCATTGTAGGCAGATTCTTTACCATCTGAGCCACCAGGATCCCTAGCCACTAAAGCACTGGGCAATTTATTTAGATGAGGTTATACCACAGCACTCTATAAATATTAAAACTTTTGTGTTCTCTCGTAAGACATTGAAATTTTCCCAGCCTCTTATCCTATATCAGCTTCTCCTGGGAGTTTCCAGACGGCATGAGCTCCAGCACAGGGACCAGAAAGCCTGAGTTAAGTCCCAGCTGCCCAGTCTGCTGACCCCAGGAGCCCTGGACTGTTCTGATCCCAAGTTTTCTGCTGTCCTGAGAATCTCTAGAGAACGAGGGAGTCTCTGCCAACGGCACCATTACTAATCTCCAACCTGCCTCCACTTCAAAGGTTGTTGATTTCATTTTTAAGTTCATTTGGGTTATTCCCTGGCCCCACAGCCCTTTAATTATTCAGCTATTTTAAATGCAAGGGGCCAGGGAAAAAACAAGAATCACTTGTTTATGCATTCAACATGCTTGAGGGCTTGCTACCACGGCACACTCACAACATGAGTGGGCACTCTATGTGCCAAGTACAAAGTTAAGTGCTTTTTAATGCATTTATTCATGGACATCTGCAACAATTCCATGAGGATATTACTATTACTATTTTCACCAAGTTAAAACAAAAAGTAGAGGTTCTGGAGCCAAAGTGCCTAAGTCTAAAACCTGCTTTGTCAGCTCGTTATATTACAAGTTAGTCCACTTCTTGGTGCTTCCTCTTCCCCATCAGTAAAACAGGGAGTGTTAACAGCACCTGGCTCGTGGGGTTCCTGTAAGACTGAGCTGATACAGGACGCTCATTAGGCACTAGAAGTAGTCTTTGCCAGGACCTGGTGACAGACTGATCAACTTCCACAAGCCTTCACCACGAGTGGAGCTGAAGCTGAGACCTGAACCCAGTTCTGCTGGACTGAAAACAAGTGGTGAAAAACCCCACAGCTTCTCAAAAAAATAAGAAACAATACTGTCCAAATCTAAAAGAAGCATCAAAGGCACTCACTAATAAGGCATTTGAGACTGATGCTTAGCTTTCCCCTTTTCACTACTGGAGTCTTTTCCAGAGGCAGTAACTCGGGAACAAACTGGCGTCACTGCGTTAGGAGAGCGGGAAGTACCAGCAAGAACATTCCTGGCTGGCTTTGGCCAAGGCAGCCGCCGCCACCCCCACCCTACCCCCTTACTCTGTCACTGGGACCGGCTCTTACTGCCCAGAATCTCAACTTTCCCTTTTGCAAAACTTCGTGAGGCCAAAGCCTGTCCACTGCGCTACGCCTTCCAGAAGCGGGCGTGGTGGGGCGAGAGGAGGACCTTGCTCTGCCTCCCGCGTCCAGACTCCACCCGGCTGCGGCCCTGGCCTCTGGCGCTCACCTATTTTCCCTCCACGGTAAACTGGCAGGTTTTTGATGTCACCCTGGCCTGGGGCCGCTCAGATACACATCACTCTTTAAAAAAAAAAAAGAAGCTGTGTGCTCTGCCTCGAAGCAACTTTAGCGAGGCAGGGGGTCCCAGCCTGGAGGAGTGGCATTTGGTACCGGTGAGCGAGTTTGTGGAGTTGGCCGCAGTAAGAAGCCAAGCCTCCGGAAGAGCCCGAGAGTTCTGGGCGACGGCCCTCCTCCACCTTCACTTCCTTCCCTCCATCCTTGGCCCCCCGTGTATCCGAAGCTCGCCCAGACCCTGGTGGCGGGCTGCCCGGCAGTTTAGGGCAGCCGGGCTGGGTGGGGCGGCACAGGGCACCGCCTCCTCCCTACCTTCTCTCCCCGTGGAGCACGTAGGAGCTGCGGAAGAAGCCCAAGAGCTCGTTCTCGATCAGGGCGTTGTAGATGATCTTCAGATTGTAATTCCTCTGCGCGTCCAGAGTCCTATTCAGCACCACCACCAGGACCTGGGTTTGTGGGTAGAGGAAAAAGCCGGCCACCGGGACCGCCCCGGCCACCCGGTCCTCGGCCACCTGCACCTTCTCGACCGCCACCCGGGAGGCGTGCAGCACGACGTAGCGAGTGGCGTTCCGGCACGCGATCTCCACGTTGACCTCCCCGGAGAAGGTGAAGTTCTCCATGAAGGCGGTGAGCATCAGATTGTAGTGCAGCGGCTTGAGGTGGCCGGACAGGCGCAGCTGCGTCCACGGCTGCCCCGGCTCGCGCTCCTCCCCAGACGGCGGCTGGGCGGACGGGGTCTCAGAGGTGGCCTCCGCGCCTGCCCCGGGCTGCGAGGAGTCCCCGCCGGCGTGCTGGTTCCGTCGGGCCGAGCCCGGAAGGCTCTCGTTGCCGCCGCGCGCCGGGAAGCCGGCCGGGCCGCCGTCGGCGCCGGACGGCACGCTCGCCCCACACTCGTCGAAGCGCAGGCTGAGGAGCACGGCGAGCATGGTGACCGCGAGCAGCGCCACGATGGACACAGCGAAGGCCAGCACCAGCCGCTTGTGCACCGTGATGTGGCGCTCGGAGGTGCGGGGCCGCACCCCCGCGGAGTCCGCCCACGGGCCTGAGAGCCCCCTGCCGCCGGCCCGGAGCGCCGCGTCGTTCTCGCCCATCGCGGCAGCGAAGAGGGAGCCGCTCTTCTGAGCCCCCTGCTCCTTCTTCTTCCTCTTCTTTTTCTTCTTCTTCTTTTTCTTCTCCTCCTCTTGTTTCCCCCGCTCGCCGTCTAGGGCCATCACACCGCCTCCTCCTCCTCCCCCGCCCCCTCGGGCGCCCCCCGCGAGCGGGCCACCCGGGCCACCGGCAGCGTCGGCATCAGAGCGCGCGCCGGCCGAGGGCGCGACGCCAGCTGGGACCCTGGGGAGACCGGCCGGGCGTCTCTTAAGACGGGCTCTGGCCGTAGGCGACAGCGCCCACGACGCCCCCCATCAGCCCCGCCTCTCTCCGGACACAGGCTGCAGGGGCGCGGGCCAGCGGGCTCTGGGACGCGCCCAACTTGGAGAGCGTCTTGCTCGCCCCAGAGCGCGCGCTACTTCTTCGGCGGGCGCCGGGCTCCGGGGCGCACGCGGCCCCCGCCCCTGTGTGCCCGCGGCTCCCAGCTCGCCGTCCCCAGCGCCGAGCTCTCGCCTGGCTTTCCGCGGGAGCCTTCTAGCGGGTCCTCGGCTGCCAAGGAGGGAGCGATGGAGAGGGAAGTTAGGGCTGCCGCTTTCTCTCCCCACTCCAGCGCCGGCGTTCAGTCCTCTGGGTGGGATGTGCTCGCAGCAGCGGCGGCGGCGGCGCCCGAGTCCCGAGCCCAGCAGCCGGGGACGGGAGGATGGCCGGGGCGGAAGAGACCGGGTGAAGCAGCTCAGTGAAGTCCCAGGGCCGCAGAGCTGGGCCGGGAATCTGTCCGGGAGAAGCCTTCTCCTCCAGCCTGGACACTTTAAGCAGCGGTGGCGGCAAACAGCGCGAGGCTGCACCGCGGGCAGCGAGCCTTCCTGGTCCCGACGTTGTGCTGACCTCCGGAGACGACAAGTGAGCAAGAAGTGTCCGGCCGGGCCATCCCCCTAAGGTAGATGACGCTCCGGGTTTGCTCTATATGCCCGTGGGGAGAGCCGGAGTGCGGTGTGCGAGTGAGTGTGCATGTGTGTGCGCGCGTGTGTGCGTGAGCGTGTGTACACAGGCTCCAGATCTAGATTGCCAAAGCTACTCTGGCTGCGCTCAGGGACTGAAACTCCCCGAGAAAGGCAACGGCGAGAGCGAGGAGGCCGGAACGGCGGGAGGGAGGGGAGCGGCAGAGGCCGGCCCTGGGAGATGAGAGAGCTTTTCTCCGCTCTGTCACACCAGACACCCACAGCCACAGAGGGGGTTGCTGCGCCGCCTGCGAGGAGTACGGTAAATCTTCAGCGCAACGAGCCCCGCAGTCCCCCTCTTCCCGACCCTTCAGCCCCACCGCGCCTTCCCGGAGGGAGCCTTGGAGCCTTTGGCTATGAATGCCTAGAGGCCAAGGAAGAGCCTGCTGGGGAGAAGAAGCGGTCTCAGATTTCACATCAACCTCACCAGAGGATTTGGAGGATTGTATGTAAATTGAAATAAATTCTCCAAAGCCTGACAACATGTACTATACTGTGTGATGTGTCCAGGCGTGCGGTATTAAAATAAGGGTTAGCAAGAAAGCGTTAGACTCCTCCAGAAGTAAAGGCTGCAGAAAAGGGATGGCTTTTTTCCAGCAAATATATTTTCGGATTGAGGAAATACTTAAATATTCAAGTGTAATATTCAGGACCAGAAACTTGAGACTGAGAAAAGCTGAGGACATGAGCTCCATTACTTTAGACTTAGAATAGTAACCAGGGATATTCTGTGATTGGACGGTTTTTCACTTTACCTGGTCACGATTACTTTTTTTTTTTTTTTTTTTTTTGCTGTTTTCAGTGTTACCATGAAAATCGTTTAAAATGTTTTAGAACAGTTATCAATAGGAAGTGTCCCTCCACAGCAGTATCTCAGAACAGATTCACAGACCACTGGCTGGTTATGGATTCTTGGCTAAGTTTGTTGAAGTTTTAAATTAGAGTGCAGAATGTGGATGAGTATAGGAGATATCCAAGCCATAGAATTTAGGTGAGGAGCTCTAATTGGAACACTATTCAGAGTACAGCCACCCCAACACTCACAGCTTAGAGGCAGGAGTTTTTTTCTCTAGTTTTCAATGAAACAAAGTGATGGGCTTCAGAGTCAATTTTGAAAAGTGCAGAATAAAAAGAAAATGAAGTAATTTCTTCTTACACATTTCTTTTACATCTTCAAATCCCAAAGGCATTTTAAAAAATCATGTCCCTAATTATTTTTTTACAAAAAGGAATCAGGCTTTGGAGTCCTGAACGAACACATTAAAATCTTGTGTTTGGCTTTAAAAGCATGACCAAAGAGAACACCCCAAATATGTATCAACTTCAGCCTGAAAACCACTGAAAACACAGCCCTCTGTTCAATGAAGCTCTTTACCATTTATACTCACATGGGATACATTCCCAATGCCATACATTCTGAATGTCCATTTGAATCATTTTAAATGATGATAAAAAGTAGTGCCAGGGTTTTTGTTGCTTTTTTTTAAAGCATGTTTTATGTGGGCCGTTAACAACAGACCAAGGGAAATGCCACAGTCTGTTCAAGTTACTTTTTTATGCTCTGTTTTTAAATCTCTGTGCTCTTGCTGTCCATATGTATCTGCCTGTGTGCATTTTAAGAATTGAGGAGTCCACGGTTTGTTAGTTTGTTTTCACAGACTCAGGAAACATAGTATAGGCAGACTGAAAGAGCTGTGTGACTCTTGGCAGCTTACCAAACTTCTCCGACCTTAGGGTACTAAGCCACAGTTCAGGATTATTGATCAAAAGTCCATGGACACAACTCACTTGAATTATAAGAGGAATCTGGAACCACCCCCTAGAAGTCTGAGAACCACTGCCTCAATGAAGATGTTACCCACTAAAGAATCTTTAAATGATATTAGTCAAGAAAAGATTCAAAGAAGGCTCTTTCTGTTCTTCTTTGTATTTTATCTGTGTACTTTTGAAAATCTCTGCAAGGCAACTCTTGAGGATTTCAGAATTAAAGAATACATTTACCAACTAGTAAAGTCTCAACTGGCTATGATTAAATTAGTGGATGGGTTATTTCTGAGACCTAAGTTGAGCAGACATGAGCGCGTTAACCTGTAGTGAACACAATTTATGAAACACTGATTCCCCTAAAATGCAACTTTACCCAGTAAATGCAATATCAAGGTCAAGTGGGTAAATATTTCTTCCTTTCATATGGATGTTACAAAAGGGCCCCAGCGAACTTTTCTCTTGTTAATTTCTGAAAGTATATAACCTACCACTGAGAAGTAAATAACTTTGGTATAGTAATTTTTTAATGTTATTTTTTAGAGAATATCTATTCTACCTTCCTCAAACCAAAACCAAAAAAGACAAAATTTCAGAGAGTGTACCTAACAAAAATCTTGGAGATGATTCACTAATATTCCTGTAAAGAAGTTGCCTTCAGTGTGTGACTAAATTGGAGAGACTTTGACTTTGTCAGTGTTAGAGCCGTGCAGGAGAATAAGACTTTCCAAAGTGCCTGATGCTCTTCCCAGAAACACATTCATCATTCGTGATAAATTTGGTAAATTTATTATTATTGGATAATTTATGATGATTTTCTTTAGTTAATAAGTGTCTTTCAAGTCATTTTGTGGCCATATTTGATTTAGAGGCTTGTAAAATTGAAAACTGTCTGAATGTTTAATATCCATAAGTCCAAACAGAAGTTATTAACTAAATCTACACCCAGGTTCCTTGATTAATCAAACTGAACTATTTTCAGTGAATGCACTGACTTCAGAGGCTTTTTACTCTTTGATTGTTGACACTTGAACTGCTTTTTCTCTCTTCCCACTGGTTTGTATGTAGAGGCACAACTGAAGTGTCATTTTTATACTCAGCCCCTTCAAGTGTAATTAGCACTTCACTTTCAGAAACAGCTTGGCTCAGCAGAAAGAACAAGATCCGAACCTGCCCTCCCCTGCCTACGTTATCCTAACCTACCTCGCTGCCTCAGTTTCTCCATAGGTTCGTGTACAGGACTTAGATGGACTAGGTAACCTCCGTGATCTCATCCAGCTCTCAAATTCTGTAAAAGAAGTTCCAAAGTTGAAACACTAATCTCTTTATGCTATCAGGGATTTTTGATTAATCTTCTCCATTGAGAAGCAAAAAAAAAAATTAACTAAAAACTGTAAATTCAATGAGTAACAAGACTTGATAAAAATACACTGTACTAGTTAAAGCACATGAAGAGAAGAAAACAGGCCCTGCTACTCTGACAGGGAAAACAGGACTGATCTGTTTTCTGAACGGCTGCGGCCCTGAAGACCTCCCACACCTGGAGACCAGAGCGACGGTGAGCGGTGCGGAGCTCTGCTCCCAGCTGAAGTGGTGCCGCCACGTGCCCCCAAACCTGGCTTGAGACTGAGATGGTGATAACTTGATGAATTTTTTAATTTGGGAAAAACAATATTGCAAACTTTATTAATATTTTTATACTACATAACTTCAATTTTTCATACCACTTGATCACTGCATGCGTTAAAGGGTAACATGTAAGAAACACCCTTCAAGATAAAACTTTCCTCAAGAATCTTAGCAATGGAAAGAGGAGGACTGTTTAAAATTAGCCATAATTGAAACAGTGCAATTTCATAATGTTCACTAACTACAATTAACACCTTGATTTAATTGCTGGTTATCTGATGTATGTTTATTTTAAAAGATTAATCTGAATTGATATCATATTTAAATTTGACTGTGTCTTCTTTACTCACATAAAATCTGTAAAATTACAAAGTTGTTTTAAGAGGAAAACATTCCCTAACCTATTAATGTATTACTACATGTTATTAGGCCAAGAATCTCATAATTATGCTTACAACTAAACAGAACAAGTCTTACTTACAGAGTCGGACACGACTGAAGTGACTTAGCACGCACGCATGCACATGCCATAGAAACCTTACCTCTTGAAGGCATTAATAAATATATCTCTGATCCAAGCTTATGTGACAATTCAAATTTACATGATCAGA